AAAACTTTTAGGTAATTAGAACCAAAAATTTTAGGTAATTAGAACCAAAAACAAAACAAATGAACAAAACAACAACCAGAAAATCCTCACACACAAAAAAAAACAAAACAAACACATCTACCATGGCAGTAGCACCTGGTGAGACCCTGGGCTGTGTTATATAGTATGAACGTGGGCGAGTGATGCCAATTGGCCTCAGGGCTGCAGGATGATCCCGTATTTAATGTATGTGTGTAGTTTGCAATAATGCCACCTGGTCATTAGGGATAAAAGATGAGGCAATACATTGAAAATTGGACGAGAAATGCAGAAAGCGAAGTTGAAACACACAGTCTCAGTAATTGAAGGGTCATCTTTTCTATTTTCTTATTTAGCTGCAAAGGACAAAATAACTCAGGTTTGAGAAGGTTCTGTACCACAGGTGAAAATTTTAAGACTAGGAGGCAAAATGTGAGTCAGAGGATTTTTCAGGCCATTTAGATCAGCAAAAAAAAAACAAACGTTAGAATGATACCAATCATAGCTCTGGCTACATAGTCTAAGTTTTTTACCTACACCAGATACAGGAACTTTTCCAGTATGGACTTGGAATTGCATTCAGGATATTATAACCTTTACATGTTACCTCAGATTTTGAGATCTAACACAGACCCACTAAAATGATAAAAGGTTTCCATGTTGTAGTGGCACACCTGAAGAGTTACTTCAGATTTTTACAGCTATAATAAAGATTCTGGCATGATTCACCAGTTTACTGTGATGTTTGTGGATTGTGTTACTGTGTGGACATATCAGTGTGTGGTGGGTAGCAGAACGGTACTAATGAACTGCTCTTTGGGGGGTAAGACATTTGATGTCTTCAAAGTGTTGGATTCTAGTCTAGGCTAGATTCTAGGGCTGAGTATAATTTGGCTATTTCTCACATTGTGCATCACTTGATTGTGATGTCCGTTGTGCTTATGTTACTGGCTGCCATGCTTAACACAAATATGGTTCATAATTCCACTCAGATACAGCAAGAAAAATTTTAGAATGTTTCAGTTGTGTTTTCTGAGTGCTTGTATGACTTTGCAGTCATTTGTTTGCAATGTTGTTATGTCAGGATTTTTTCTGCATTTTGTTTGAAGTGAATTGGAGCTGTTGCAAAGGAGTTTATGGGGTGCTATTATGTATGCTTTGTCTAGTTAGCTAGTTTAATTCAGTAATGTGACACACTGTGAAGTAGCTAGAGCCTTGAAGTAAAAGTGTACACTCAAAAATAGCAATCTGCTGTATCTTTGAAGTTGCATTTTACTAGAATATACAAAAAAAAAAAAGTTAAATCAATGTAACACTTTAAATACAGACCTCAGTTCCTTTGTGACATAGATTAAATAGAAAGGTTTGAAAACAAAACTGTGATGAGTCCAGTAAGTTGCTTTTTTTTGTTGTTTTTTTTTTTTGAAGGACTTGTCTCCATTTGTGATGCAGGTTTCCTGCTTGCTATTTCTCCTGCTTTTTCCTTCCCAGTCCACTAACACTGTTTTTCAACAAGTACCCGTTGTATAGCTACCAGATAGCAAACAGTAAATAAATTGAAAAGAGTTTTCTTACGTGCTTGCAGACTTGACTTTATAAAGTTTGCAAAAATTAATGGAATCACTTCTAAAAAAAATCTGGAGTTAGTGAAAATTACAGCCTTCATTAGTGCATAGAGCATTATTACATCGACAATCAGAAGTCACTGCAGGCATCACCTATTTTATTTTTTTTATTTTTACCTTTGACCTGGGGATAGACTGCTTTTAAAGGTCAAAGAGCAGAGCCTTTCCCCAGAGTAGCACACCAGCCTTCATGCCGTTTGTCATCAGTTGTGTTTTTTGACAGAATGGCACTTCTCTGTAAGTACAACTGAGTCCAATGTCTTTTGTTCGTTTACCAAGAAAAGACAATAAAGGTAAAAACAAAGCTAGAAGAAGTCAGATCTGTCTTGTTACAGAGCTGCAATTACAAAGCTTTTGCTAATATCTTTCTCATTAGCGTATCAGCTGGATATAAAAGGCTTTCTAATGAAGCAGAAGTTGATGATGTTTAGTTTACAGACTAATTCTCCATTAGCTAAGGCAATTTACCACTGCACTTTTTAAGGTGCAGCTCCATATCACTTCTCAATATAAAGATCTACGCATGTAAGTAGAGTTCATTAAAAGGTAAAACAGAATAATTGGCATTTATCCAAGAGCAAAACTAACAATGCAATCATTAAAAGGTATCTGTGCAAAGAAAGGTGTAGACTGAAAGCAACACATTACATCCTAGCAAGAAAATAAATTTCCAGCTATCCCAAAGAAAAAGTTCTGTAATTACAGAATCAGAAGCATTTACAGGAGCATATGCCAGTGAAAACTGTATAAGGAAAGTAAGAATAGTGAATAATGAAAATGAGAATAGCAAAAGAGTAAAGAAATATATATTTTGGTTAAACAGCAAGTCAAATCTGCCTTCCCTTCCTACAAATCCTGAGAAGATATTTTCTCATTCATACCCCCTTCTAGTGGCCAGACTGATCTTTGCTACACAAAACTGATGGAATCTGGTCCTACTTCCCTATGAGAACTTCAAGACTCAGGAAAATCAGATCAACCTTCCTGATCTTTGTTGACATGGGTTTTTAAGATTCAAAGTGATAATAAAGTGAAAATGGCTATAAAACAAATATTTTTAAATAAACTTAAAATTTAGGAGGAAATATAACTGAACTCAAATGCGAAGCTTTCATTTTACATCTGTCTCATTCAATAGTATTCAGGAGTTTAAAATGTTTAATTGTTTTTTGCTTGCTTTGTGTTTTTTTTGTTTGTTTGTTTTTTCTTAAACTGGAAGTTCTGCCTATGTGAAATGTGTTTGCAACTTACTGTTGTTTCTGTCACTGAGGTTTCATTTTGAATGCTGGTATCATGGGGCCTTTCTTAAATCCAGACAGCCTTATGTGAAATAAATAACTTTGTTGTGAAGCCAAGTGATTGCCCTTACTAGCCCAGCTGCATGGACCAAGTTGGCAGAGAGCTGTGGGAAGGTGAGACCTCCGGGTGAGGCCCCATGGCCTTATTGCTGACATGGTGCTGGGCCATTTTTGAAAACAGTGATTTTTTTTAAGGAAGGAATAGGGGCTATTTACTCCACAATTACCTGCTTGTTTTTCTTTTTTCTTCTGGCTTGGTACAGCTGCTGTCACAACCAGTAGCAGCCATGAGGGTCGTCTATGCACTTTGAGTCTAAATTGGTTTTGGCACATTTTTAATCTTACTGGTTTTATCATAGAACTGTAGAAGGCCTCACGTTGGAATAGACCTTAAAGATAACCTAGTTCCAGCCCCCTGCCATAGGCAGGGATGCCACGCACTGGATCAGGTTGCCCAGGGCCTCATCTAACCCGGTCTTGAATGCCTCCAGCAATGGGGTATCCGCAGCTTCTGTTCCAGTTCCTCACCACGCTCTGAGGGAAGAATTTTTTCCTAATCTCCAATCTAAATCTCCCCTCTTTTAGTTTAAATCCATTCGCCCTTGTCCTGTCATTATCTGATTGAGCAGAGTCGCTCCATCTTTTTTGTAAGCCCCCTTTAAGTACTGGAAAGCTGAAATATATATACACACTTCACCCATACAAGCCCAGTTCTTAGATGAGTATTCAGTCCCCATCACCTTCATTCATACTATACCAACCTTATCAAATCTCCTAATGGCTTATAGGAACAGGGATTTATTTCAAATTGACACAACCAACTAAATCTTTGTTGAACCACTCAATAAATTGAGGGCATGGCGTTAGATGGGAAGAGGAAAAAGCAAGAAGCATCTTCTAAAACAGTTGATACAGTTGAAGGAAATGAACAGCATTTTATAAATTTGCTGATCCTACATAAAATGTAGCATAATCTTATCTGGGCTGTATGCATGGTTAAATAATGTAGTTAAACTTTTAAGTAATGAAACACATGCAGTCTTGATGGTCTAAATAGAGTGTGTTTTGAGCAGTGAGCAGAATCATTCCTCTCTGGAACCTTTCAGCACTAATGACTACGCTCTGCCAAGACAGATCTGTTTTGGTGGTAAAAAACAGCTATTTATATAACACAAATGAAATTTCATACTGCTAATCTAATCTCAAGTGTTTTGCTTCCTCATCTCTTCTGCTTAAGAGGATCTGGTAACTTTTGCCTTTCTTTTTACTGCAAAAACATGCAAACCATATATTTGAGTCAAAATCCCCTGGAGGACATCATTTAGAAGGAATATCATGCTATGATTGTTTCACTACAACTGTCTGGTGATTCAGTAGTTTTCAGTTTGAAACAAAACATGTTAAAAGATGGAGTTCTTGCTATTTGGGATTGCACCTTCTAAGATCTTGTTTCACAAGTTTGTTTCAATACTCCTGTTTGCTACCTGCTGCTCTTCAGTGCTATTTTTAAAAATATTCCATGGCTTCCTGGTGAATACTTAAGTAAATCAAGTAATTCTGCTTGAGACTTGCATTTACAGTGCCTTTCAGATCCCATCCCCACTTTTCAGTGTTAAATATTTATCCTGAGTATTTATCCTTTTTTTTCCATAAAGTCATGCAGATAAAACTTTTTTTATTTTAACACTTCAGTATGAATAATTTTACATAATGTGATTAAGGTAGGGATTCTGAGTTGATGCACATTTCACACTTGCATCTTAAATATATGTTCTAGTATCAATTTTTTAAGCATGCCGGAAAAAAACTAAAATGTTGTTTTGGCCTGTGTTTTAGTACAATTAAACTTCATTGCTCCCACCTATATGCATCTAGCACTGTTTAAAAAAAAAAAAAAAAAAAAAAGTTGCATATGTTTTTAAGAGGCTATATCTGTTGATACTAGAATAAGCATCTCCACCAATCATCTAAGTTTAATTCTTGCTTTGACTAGTGTCAGAACTGGATCCAGTGTCTTGTTAATTGGGTGCCACTCTTGTTTCCTTCTCCTTTGTGACAGGTAACCTGGGGTCCCAGCTGGTTGAGTATAAAGAAGAAATGTACATCACATCTGACTGTGGGAATACATGGCGTCAGGTAGGAAACAGAACTAGTCAAAGGCAACAGGAAATATTTTTAATTTAACTAATATGATGTATTTTATAATGATAAACTTATTTTCATACACCCACTCTTTTGAGGTAGGTGGCTATTATTATTCCCCTTTCACTTGGAAACTGAGAGATTAAGGAGGTGATTTACAAAGACTCTAATTGGTTAGGCTGTCAGGTTCCACTGAAACAAATATTTTGTTCTTTTTACAGAGCTTGCAAATACATTGCATAAGAAACATGCAGTCCATTTAGGTTTTTTCATAGTTTCAGTAATCTTCCTATGCTAATGATGAAGTTGACTTGGGCTAAATCTTGCAGTACAAATATTCCAAGCTGAAAGACATGGTTTGAAAGAAAGGGGGACATTTTTCTGCTTCACAGTTAAAAAATGGTATTTAAGCTTAAACTTTTTTCTCCATTGAAGGTGAGAAAGCAAAAAGAGATTGAAAAGAACAATAAACCTTTTAATGTTTTTTGGTATGATTTAATCAGTTATAGGACTACAAACATTAAAGTATTTTTTTAAAAAACAGCACAGTCTTGTAGTAGTTGAAATGGCATTTGATTTTTGGATGTCTTATGCTTCCAGTTCTTAGTGTTGATTTAAGCATTGTACCTTTGTTATTCATTTTATCTTAAATTGCTCTGTATCAGCAACGATTAATCATAGGAATATATTCTTTTTTTTGAGTGTAAATATCAACAACAGTAATGGTCATAAGACATGATGAAGTTCTGTGAACTACTTCTGATGTATATTCAGAAAAAGAAGGAAAAAAAAGCCCTCAAAGCACCAAAGTGCATCAAAAAGTCATTTGATTTCTGTTAAAACGGTCTTTTAGTGTTCAGATGAATTAAGATCTAGTTGTGTTATAATCTAAGTACAAGTAGGTGTGCAGGTGCTCTCACTAGTGTTATTGACCTCAGGAATTTTGAGATAAAAAGAGCAAAATACAGAAATTTTCTTAGATTGCTATTTCAGGGTGCCATTAATACTCCACAGGAGGGCTTTTTAAAATAAATATATTATTTTTGTCATGATAATGTCCTTTGAGTTTTAAAAGATGAGATTTTATGCCAAAATCTTTCTTGAATTCCAGCAGATGATAAATAGGTGGTTAAATGCAAAAGCCTTCCAGGATTTACAGCCTGTATTGTGTTATCTAAGTCTTAACAGAGGCCTCTCTAATATTTTATCGTCACAATTTTCCAGAATTCTATAGTCTTGATGGGGTGAAAAATAAGAAGGAAAGAGAAAAAATGATCAATTTCATATTTTTGCTGCTTTTATTTGTGAGGCACTCAGGCAAATGATCTGTGATGGAACTTGACCTTAAGATGACTATTCAAGCTGTAAAACCAGCAACAAACTGTTCCTCATTATGACACCATTGCCTGCTTGATTTTAATTAAAGCTGCTATGAAGCCTTTGGAAGAGCTTGCTCAATATTTGTGATCAAAATAAAAATTTACTTTCAAGTGAGATGATATGGGAATTATTTAGAGAGTAAACTACAGGGCTCTTGTGCTGGTAAAAGGAGAGCGAAGTTCATGTTTTGTTACAATTTCTAAGGCGGTTTTAAGTCACTGGCTTAGAAACATTGTGGCAATGGTTGGTAAGTGCCCCGCACCTTTCTCACGCTCCACACATGACATTGCAGAGCTGTCTACAAACTCTACTAGAAGAAAAGCTATCTGTGTTTGTGTAGAGTGAAAAAGCAACATAGAAAAGTAAATATAAAGAACCTAGGAGAAAGGGTAGTTCAAGGAATTAAATAAAAGCTTTCCTGAGGTCATAGCAATATTGGCACTGAGACTTATAGGAATATAGGACAGGGAGGAAGGTCAAAGATTGTGTAATTCAACCACCTGCTCTGAAGCAACATCAAACGAACCAGAAACATCTTTAACAGAGATTTGCCAGATCTATTTGTTAATCCTTCACTGTAGGAGATTCTGTAGTCTACCTATATGCTGTTTCACCGTTCTTCATAGATTTTTCTGAGTATTTAACATAAGCTGCTTTTTGTGCTGCTTTGCATATCCTTGCTTTTTGTGGTTGTTCTTGCAGTTTCATAAATTTTGCAAGGTAAGCTGATTTATTCCTGTCTTTGGAGAGCAGTGGTTTCCTGTCAGCTTTAAATAACCTTTCAGATGTTGAAAGGCAATTATCATGTCTATCCATAGCATAGGTTGTTGTTGGTTGGTTTCCTTTTTTTCCTTTTTTTTTTTTTTTTTTTTTCTCCTGCCTTTTGGAAGAAAAGCCTTCTTTTCCTGATGGATCTAGTTTCTAAACTGCTTTTCCCCTTTGTTGCTCATCAGCTGGACTATCTAATACGATGGCTCTCCCTGGAACATGGTAAAACTGGATGCAAAATTACAAATTTTATCATTACTAAACAGAATTAAATGTTTGCCATTGGCGTCTTAGCATTTCTGTCACCTTAATTCAGAAGATCTCTCTTTTTTGCACTAGCATCACATTGTTGACTCAGATTCAGTCTGTGATTTGTAACAGGGACCAGTCCCTAAGTTACTGAATTTGTAGTGCATCTCTAGGTTAAAGGAAATCTATTCATTATTTTCCTTCAATTTCTTAACTGATTTTATACACTTGGAACGATTTCAACTGAACCTGTATTTCCATAACTTGTGTATTGTAATGTTACATGAGAATTCAGGATGACTTACTATGAGTACCATTCATGGCAGGATGTACAGCTAGCATTGATAGGCAGAAATAAAAATGCCCAAACAAGAATTTTGTAAAATTAAGTAAATATTTTTGATAAACAGAAAAAAAAAAAAAAAGGAAAAAAAATCTCATCAGAGAAAATACAAATTGAGTTGGTTCCAATTGTTCTCCTGCCTTTCTGTTGCATGATGCTGGAGTTGCTTATGGACATCTTTCAAAAGCACTTTTGTGTTGAAAACACTATTGCTTTACTGTATAACATTTTATAGCAAAATGAAATTTGTAATGGTGCACAGTACAACATGGCACTGTAAACAGCAGAGGTTTAGGAGCCAATTGACAAGTAACTTGAATGTCCATGCAGTGGCAGTGATCTGGATTGTATGTGAGCAAAGGAAATCTAGCCTTGACATTATGAACTACATGAGCTTAGATCATCTTAAGTGAACCATGAAGATGTAGCCTAAGGTGAACTCATGGGATAGATATGTCTATTTGGAAGATTTCTCCGTCTATTAGACCAGGAAAACAATATCGTAAAATGTGTTAATGATAGTGAATAAGATAGATAAATAAATCTCACGTCCTGGGAGCAATGGAGCATCTTTGAACACATTTTAGAACGTAAAGGTTTTAAACATTGTTTTTCCCTGTGGGACCTGTTTTTTCAGTGCTGATTTACGAAATTTTATGATGCTCTGCTAAATGTTAAGAATGACCTTATGTATAATACAAGTATGTTTTTTTTTTGGTTTTTTTTGTTTTTTTTTTTAAAGAAATAGTTTCTGTTCACATTATGGCTGCCACTGCTATTTCAACTGCATGTGTTAACAACACTGTGTTTGAAATAGGGCAGAGTAAGAGTGGCTTTTGGAAGAAATTGAAAAGTGAGCCCATATGGAACCTAATGAGGTTCAACAAGTCTAAGTGCAAGTCTAACTGCACCTGGGTTGAGGTAATCCCAGACATGAGTACAGAATGAGTGGAACTCTTTGGAAACAGCCCTGCCGAGAAGGACTTGAAGGTTCTGGTGGATGAAAAGCTCGACATGAACCATCAGTGCGTGCTTGCAGCACAGAAGGCCAACTACATTCTGGGCTGCATCAACAGAGGGGTGGCCCACAGGGGAGGGAGGGGATTGTGCTCCTCTGCTCTTGTGATGGCCCACCTGGAGTGATGCAGCCAGGTCTGGTATGCCCAGCACAAGAAGGATGTGGGGCTGTTAGGGTGGGTCCAGAGGGCCACAAAGATGATCAGTGTGCTGGAGCATGTCTCCTATGAAGAAAGGCTGAGAGAGCTGGGGGTGTTCAGCCTGGAAAAGAGAAGGCTCTGGGGTGACGTTATTGCAGCTTTTCAGTACTTAAAGGGGGCTTAAAGAAGAAGATGGAGAACAACTTTTTCCTTGGGCAGACAATGAGAGGACAGGGGGGAATGGTTTTAAACCAAAAGAGGGGAGATTTAGATTTGAGTTTAGGAGGAAATTCTTCACTCAGAGGGTGGTGAGGCACTGGAACAGGTTGCCCAGAGATGCTCTGAATTCTCCATCCCTGGAGGTGTTCAAGGCCAGGTTGGACAAGGCCCTGGGCAGCCTGATCTAGTGGGTGGCATCCCTGCCCAAGGCAGGGGGTTGGAACTAGATGATATTTAAGGTCCCTTCCAACCTGAGCCATTCTATGAAGAAATGGCTTAAAAAAAAGACAAGAATAAAAAAACTTTCATGGTGGATCTGCTGTGGAAGTATCTAGTGGAAACACAATGCTCTATCAACCTACTAAGATGACAAAGAAAGTCTATTGTGTGTCTAGGAACTGAATCTATATCCCAATCTCCAGTCCACTGCTTCATAATCTTTATGTATCAAAGTAATTTGGAATGTATTTGTTTAAGCAAGATTAGGTGTTTGTGTTTTTGGTTTATTTGTTTTTTTTTCCTGCAGACATCTTAAAAATGAGATGAAAGTGACTTCAGGTATTTCGGATTACTTTTCAAACTTAGGCATCTCAGAATAAAATTGTGTGCAATAAATTTTTCTTTGATCATTTAAACGTGTTTCATTTATTTAATGGAGATCTCTTAATTGCTCCCAATTGATAACCTGGCCTGAAATAGCAGCTGAAGTTGTTACAGTAGACACAGGAACAAACAGAGAGCAGAGGGAGATGAAAGACATTGACTTTATGACAAAGTTCTCAAAAAAAAATCAGAGAAGGAAAGATGTAGAAATGGACTATAATAATCAAGTTCTGTAGTGGCTGGCTATTTGTTAGGGTCATAATAAATATATTACCTGACTTCAGTTAGTGGAGAGGCATAGGACAGAATTCATGACTGACTGCGAAGATGCATATTACTTATTCCTGGATTTTGACTTCAGCTCTGATACCAGGACCATCTTTACATACACCCTTTTGTCCTGATTTTGGCTGGTATAGAGTTAATTTTCTTCCTAGCTGGTATTGTGCTGTGTTTTGGATTTAGGATGGGAATAATGCTGATAACACACTTCTGTTTTAGTTGTTGCTGAGCAGTGCTTACACTAACTCAAAGATGTTTCAGTTTATGCTGCCCTGCCATCAAGGAGGCTGGGGGTACACAAGGAGCTGGGAGGAGACAGAACCAGGACAACTGTCCCAGGCTGACCAAAGGGATGTTCCAGGCCATATGGCATTGTGCTAAACAAACAAACAGATAAAAATAAATAAGTGGGGGGCCACTGCTCAGGGACAGGCTGGGCATCAGTTAGCAGGTGGTGAACAATTGCATTGTGTATCACTTTCTTTGTATTTTCTTTTCTTCTTATTATCATTTATTATTTTCCCTTTCTTTTATTTCCTATTAAACTGTCTTTATCTCAACCTATGAGTTTTTACTTTTTTACTTTTGTTTTTAGGTGTTTTAAAAAGTAGAGATAAATATTTACTTCTGTACTGATCTCCACAAGCATGAATTTATTAATACATTTTGATTTGCTGAAGATGAAAGAATTTCATACATTTTGGTTATAAAATGTTTGTAATGTGTGCAAGAAGAGCATGGTATAAACATGGTATTAATGTGTTCGCTGTGCCTTGTAGTGTGCCATGGTTTATGTGGAAGTAGGGTAAAGCTGACATACTGAAATGGTGCTCTAGGAATTGCTATGGTGCTTTTCTGGGAAAATCTGATTTGGATGAAGTCATGTAGATACCAGCCTCCATTATCTTCAGTATGAAGGTGAAGCTTTTGGAGACTTGATGTTCTGGTATTGCTGTTTCTTTTGGATTTAAGCAGAAGTTCAAACAAAGTTTATAGGAGGATCAAAACTCCGCTTGCTTATCTGAGTCCAACTGATCTTGTCCTCTTGAACCGTGCCTGAAATTAATGTCTGCCTTTTACTGTATTCTCTTCTAAAATATGCAGCTTTGTGTAACAAGTACACAGGAATGTAAATGCTTCATATCAGGATGTTGCCAGTAAATTGGCAATACTGAACAGCTGATCAGTCACTTGAAGTCCTAGGATTCCCATAAAATATGCTCTCACTAGATGAGAGGAAGACTGAATTCCGAATCCAAATTAAATGTTTGCTATTTTTGAAGTAATTGTGAATGACAGATAAAGACTCCCCCCACCCTCCCTTTAGTTCAATCTTGCCGATAAACTCTCTAAATACAGCATTCGGTACTATCAAAAAAAAAAAAAAAAAAAAAAAGCATTTAGTGTTGTCTGTATTTTCTTATTCACAAGAAAAGTAGAGCTAACCTTTATGTTTTTCACCATTGTTTGTCAAAGCGTGTAGGAGGTTGTATGTTCATCTATTAAGTGCTATGCATGTGTAGTAACTGGTATGTTATTGCCTGCTGTTATGTTAAATGAACTTTCATAGACTAATAACACAAGTAAACCATATCTTAAATCTGATACCGGATGTGGAAAAGGGAGGATAATTGCCTATTCATTCATACTGCTGATGGCCTTTAGAAAATAAATGAAAAGAATTTAGGAGATTTTGAATACTATTAAATCAATATTGCATATATTTTGGTTCAGAACTTAGAGCAGCCTCCATGTGAGATCACACACATTTTGAATTTAAATAAATCATTGACACTGGAAATGCAGAAAACATGCAAGCACCAGTTATTTCAAGTTCTGTGGAGTCTGAAGAACATGTAAGAAAGTCACAGACAGCAATAGTTTTCCTATTTTTCTTAGAATTAGATTACAAAGCATGTCATTCTACAAGATACAGAGAATATGGCAAATACTGAAGTGAGGTGATAGGTCACTTGGTGATATATAATAGGAAGGAATGCAGAATGCACACTGCAAGAAATACAAGCTTGGGATAAAATAACTTTCGACAGTTTAATATGACTGTGATTTGAACCTGAACGTTTTCTGATTCACCTGCTTAACTTTCTTTTGTGTTACAGCTGGGGAAGTATGAGTTAAACTGACTTTTATGTCCTTCTCAATTTGAAGTGTGGACATTATAAAACATACAAGTCTTTTAACCCTGGTTTGCTCATACATTTTATTTCTGCTGTTTTGTGCATTTGCTTAGTTGGCCTTTTTTTTATCTGACTTGTAGGTCTTTGAAGAAGAGCATCATATCTTGTACCTGGACCATGGTGGGGTTATCGTGGCTATCAAAGACACCTCCATCCCACTGAAAATACTCAAGTAATCCTACAATCAATTAGAGTAGAACTATTGTGTATTCAATGCCTCAGACAAAGTTCAGAGTTTAAGATGAACGCTTCAATGTAATCATGTATGAAATGCAAGTGGAGTCAACTTAATTTAACATTAATTAAGTTGACAGAATACAGGTGGATGTTTTCTTAAAGATTACTTCATGGTGTACTTGACATGACATAATGCATTAATTATAACAAGATTTTCTTGCATCAGTGTAGATCTTTTTAGTTTGCTTAAAAAGCTAGCCTGGAATTCTAAAGTACAAGCATGATTAGTACAGCCTGGAACTCTAAAGTACAACCATGTTCAGCATGATTATTGTCTGCTACTTTTTTGCACCAGCAGTGCATGGCACTGATGTTCTGCCTGTTGTGCATATGTGGCTTAGGTATCCAGTCAGAATATTACTTTCATACTGTAATAAAGCTCATTTTTCAGTAATAATCCCTACACTAATATGATCATGGCTGTACACTTAGTTTGCTGGAGTGAAAGCCATCATTAACCAAGAACAAAAAAAGGAGGAAAAGTACACAAGACAAGAGAATTGGAGTCATAAGCTCTGGGTGCAGAGACTATTTGAAATACATTTTGTGTATTATTATAAGGTGATTATTCAGCACCTTTAAAAAAATTTTTAAAGGATAGTTATATCTGTGAGGGGCCATCATCATGGTGCCTGGAGTTATTGAACATCCCACGTGTTTTAGCAATTGAGCTGTTTTCCCTACTTATGTTTCAATGACCTCTGCTTAACAGGTCTCCAGCCTGGGGATTACTAGAAAGAATGGAGTGTAAATTACTGACTCTTAAACCTACACTTTGTAAGCAAGATTGTTTGTTTGGCAGAATTTGTTTTTTATTTGCCTTAGAATTTCCACTGTTGTTACAAATTTATTATACACCTCCTAATAATGTAAGCCACTAGAACATTAATGAGATATACTACCCATGCAAACTGTCTTCTGGTGATTGTAAATCCATGGCTTTAGGGTTTATGAGATTTTTCTTTTTTTGTGTGTATGAATTCTGATTTATATAATACTTGTAAATGAGAACCATTTCTGCTTTTTAACAGGTTCAGCATAGATGAAGGCCAGACTTGGAGTACACATAATTTTACCAGCACTTCCGTCTTCGTAGATGGATTACTAAGTGAACCTGGAGATGAAACACTGGTCATGACGTAGGTTTCTGTTTTCACCTGTTTTTTCAGGGCTCTCTTTCAATATGCACTTGAGCAGTTTTTAAATTGTGGATGTTTGAAATAGTCCTTGAGTAACTGCTTTTGCTTCCTGCAGTCACACAGGCCTGAACGTATCCAAATAGTCCTACTACGTAGCTTGTCTTTGAAGTTACCTGAGTGCAATATTTCAGATTGTAAAGATGAAGAGTTCTGTTTGTGTGAGATTTCACATAGTTGCAACCAGAAGGTGTGGAATAGTAGGATTACAGATCTAAATCTGAGAAATATAGGTAAAAATAACTATAACTTGCATTTTTTCTGTTTTCTACAGATTCTTAGGCAGACTTTAAAAGCGTTAAATATCAATTCTTTCTTGTGAAAATTGTCTTCACAGCGTAAACAACTATATTGTTGTCTTAGTAACTGCATTACTGTATGCAACCAAACACTATGCTAACAAATACATGCTTTAATTCTGTGCAGTGGCTGAGGCATATGCTGCAAATAGAGTTTAAAACAACCAGATTCTGTAATTCAAGCCCACATTTTTCTGTCTTTTTTTCCAAAGAGCTCAGGACAGCTGGATCTGAGCTGAAGGTTTTGCTCTGTCTCAGGATAAATGCTAATTGTTACAAGTGTATGAAAGTAAAAAAACACCTGCCAATTAGAGAAAGGGACAGGCTGACTGCAGTAGTAAAGGGGAATTGAAGAAAAAAAATATTCCTGCACTCAGAGATGTGCAGGATGATATGCCTGCTCCTATCAGTTAGAACAGCTTGTGCAACACTTTATATTGGAGCTCAGTGTTCTCATGACACATTTTTTTCTCCTATGAATTAGAAACAGAACTGCCTTTAATGTGCACCAGTAGCATTTTTCCCCAAGGGAGGAAAAAAAACAGTACTTAATGTACTTCCCAATGTACTTAAAAGTGTTGTGCCATGTTCACAATGTTATAGTGCACAGGGGTGACCTTGGCATACTGGTAGTCCATTCTTTCTTTCTCCACTATCCCATTCATTTCTCTTCCATTTTAACTTGTATGATCTGAGAAGAACAGCATTATTCTAGCATCTTACTCTTCTCTCAAGCACAGCTTTTTATGGTATAATATATTCCACACAGAGATACTTACGACTCTGAATGAAGGATTTCTACTGCCTTCATTGGAAGTTCAGGGATCAAAAGCTTATACTAAACTGTCTTTACTGGCAGATAGAAAAGAATGTGATGACTATATGCTGTTTGATATTTTTTGTTGGTGGTGTTGGTTGTGGTTGTAGTATGTTTGTTTGTTTGTTTTGTTTTTTTGTTAAAAACAGTGATTTTGTGAAAATATATTTAAATATCTGGATGAATAGCCAAAGACCTCATGTTAAAAAAACACAACACCTTTTTTGAAATCATCCATCTGAAATATAACAAACTGCAGCTAGATTTGATACAAGAACAGATTGACAAATAAGCATCATATGGTTTGTATGTTTCTAAGGTTGAACAAGAGTCTGACTCCATCATCTCAATGTCAGTCTTGCAGGATCTTACTTTGCAACTGGTTGTACTGAACATGGAGGATGTCAGGCACTCACTCTCATAGGTGGGAAGTGAAAACACTTGCAGTCTTCCTACCTGATTCCAAAGATACTGTGAAGAACAAAGCTGCAGTGTGTGTTTCCCTTTTGCTGTTATATCAGCTTCCTTGTCTTGCCACTTTTGGTAGGATTTTACCTTCAGGGTGAAATTGTCTGCCTGATGGTGTTCTGCCTGACTTTATATCAGGACCTTTCAGTGTTCTTTCTGGCTTAGGTCATTTCCTCCTAAAACTTCATGCTTGGTCTGAGTTGCTGGGCTTGACTTCATCTACAGTAATTTGCTGCTCTTCAGAAGTGTCATCCTCTGATACATACTGCCTGAAGGGGGGAAAAAATAAACTCTTCCATTTTTTCCATTGCATTAGATAAGTGTTTTTACTTCTGGAGAGAGCATGGCAAGATGAACTTATGTGTGGTAATGGAAATAAATTCATACAACGCCTTTCACCCTGAACAATCCTGAAATCCATTATTAAGGACCTAGTCTGACAGTTTTTACTTGTATTGGATTTTCAGTTTGTCATAGAACTACGGAATGGTTTGGACCAGAAGGGATCTTAAAGATCATCTAACTCCAGCCCCCCTGCCATGGGCAGGGACACTGGACCAGGTTGCCCAAAGCCCCATCCAAGCTGATCTTGAACACCACCAGGGGTGGGACATCCACAACTTCTCTGGGCAACCTGTTCCAGTGCCTTACCACCCTTTTCTCCCTTTGTTGGGGAATTTGTTTGAATAAGGGTTTTGAATAAAGAGTCCAATGTCAAAATCTGCATAAATTAGCAGAGTGAACAAAATTCTGAAATGGGAAGGTAACAACAACTGGAAGAGTATGCAGAAATATTGTGGAACAGAGATTTTTGCATTTAAAACCTCTAGAATAATCTCACAAAAGGGTTAAAGAATATATTATTTATATGGAAAGCAACTGTTACTGTAGGGTCAAATTCTGGTTCCACTGAAATTAGGTTAGGGATTTCCTTCTACATTTCTAATTTGTATTAAAAAACAACAACAACATTATCTGGGAAAGGCGTAAAGGGACCCAGTAACACTGTGTCTAAGATATTTCCTGTTCTCCATCATGGTGACTGGGACACTGAAAGTCCCCTGCAAGACAGGTTATTAGAATTCTCTTCTGTCCTAACTTATCCAAAATGACGTGGTCTGGAAAGCTTACTGAAGCAACAGGGGAATATGAACATGGTTGCCTCAAGTCTTCATTTCAGAAAGTTTTGTGTTTTCTCCAAAACAGAGAAAAGCAAATATTGTTGACTTGTCAAAAGTTTTCAGAAAACTGAATTGTCATCTGCCAGTCGACATTAATCAAAATCATTCACCCACATCCCCTGCAGTATTCAAAATATGTACCGTCAAATGCCAAGGAAAATACATTTTATTCCATTGTGCTCTGCAATGGACCTAGTGAAGAGTTTTAGGAGTTTTAAGCAGTAAAGTATTCATACAGTTTAGGAAAATCATTCTGTGTAAAATCATTTTCTAAATGAAGAGCTCAAATCCACCATTTACTGCTAAACAAATAAGTAAGGTATGCTCAGGTATTGTCTCAACTATTTGATATATGTTAAATTCATCAAAATAGTACACATTCTAGTAGGCTTTACTTTGCTCTGAATTCTTTAAGAGTGAAATTTACTGAAACTCAATCTTACATTTTACAGCATATTTTTGTGGAAAAAAAAAAGCAACATAATAACGTTGGATTGAGTGATGGCCCAACTTAGTGGAAAAAGGAAGAATTGTATGTTTCTGAAACATTGTTGTTCCTCTTCAAAGGATGTAGTTCATATAATAAAAGTTTCAAATCTGTTAAAATTATTTCTTAAGCACAATTCAGCTTCTGGAAGCATTACCCAAACCAAGTTATTGAGATTACAATGTAAATCCAGTCAGCACAATAACCATGGTACTTCAGTTTTAGTAGGAGGTTACATAAAAGGCCTTCTTTTCTTTGTCTCAGGTAGAATCAAAATCTTCCTTATGGACAATTGTCTTTTTTTTTTTTTTTTTTTTTTTTTGAGGTATTTTTTCCTAAGATCTTGTGTAGAATAACCTTTTACTGTAACCCTTAAAAAGGGTGGCTAAATAGTAGATAAAACCTCAATATGTAAGAAAGTAGCTGATTTCCCAAGGTGAGTTCTAGATTTTATTTGCAGCCATCTGATTTCTTGTCTGAGTGCAATTTGAATAAGTGTTGCTCAGATATGAAATGATTGTTCTGCTCTCTGCACAATGTATGTGCCTCAGTGTCAATAGAAGGCGGAAACAGAGAAAGCCAGCAAGACAATGGTGCCTTTGACTTCAATATAATCTAGAAGTTAGCTAACTCAGACTTATGGATGATGGTTTAGTGGCAAGTCTCAGCTAATTCTGTTATCTCTGTGGGTGCAGGTGTTAGCAGAGCAAGTCAGTGTGTTGTAATGCCAACCTGTGGTCTTGGAGCCAAGACCATGGGACTGCCCCGTCTCTATTTGCTCAAACTCCAGAGTGTAAAGGTTATTGTTTGTTGTTTTTTGTTTGTTTGTTTTCCCCTTTCCACAAAGTTGTCATATAATATTCAGAAGCAATGGAACATGATGCTTTTGGTGGGATCACTACAGTCCATATTTAGTGCACTTTGAGGGCAGACCTGGAAATACGTTTAAAGGAGAACTGAAAGATTAGGAATCTGTGTCCTGAAAGAATTTTTTTTTACCTTGTCTTTTTTTTTTTTTTTTTAAAGGACAGGAGGAGATAAAAAGGGTGACATGGGACTCTTATATTCAGGTAGAGTCTTTTTGTGATTTTGGGAAGCTATCATTAAATGAGTAACTGTATCTACGGTGCTCTAACTTTGCTTCCAGGGAGACAGTTGTTTCTCGTTCTTAAAAGTGGTGATAATGAGGTAGACAGTAGAAACTTTGGCCAACAATAAAATTATTCAAACATTTTACTTAAATTTAGGTGGGGCCTTGAACTTAATTTTGCTATGTTTTGTTTTTAAAATGAAGGCATTACCTCCTCCTATTTAGGTGACCACACACTATTTACTCTGGCTCAGCCAGGTGAAGTCTGAATGAAGAATTTCCTATCTGTAATAAATAAAAGAGCTCTGCTTTTAAATATGTGAGTAGAAAAAAATATATTAGCTAGAGAATTAATTATAAAATATAGTAAATTACACAGATTGATTTGATCTTTATCTAAGATGACACCAGAGATTTGATTGATGCAAAGCTATGCTTTATAATGCCATATGTTTCTCCTTAAATTAGTCTATTTTCTTCATAGTCCACCCTGTATTTACTTCTGCATAAGGCATCAGGCTAGGCATTAAATCTACATTTTTTTCCAAACGGGTTACAAGCTAAAAGATTGTTCTTGGACAGGATTTTACTGAATAGATGG